CCTTATTTTTTAAAATCTTTTCAAATCATGTCCTTCTTTTTTCAATTCAATGGGACTTTTACTCACTTCTACCTCCTCTAATTTACCTTCATTATGTAACAATATTATTTTTTCAGATTAAGAAGTATATAATTTATAATTAAATGAAAAGTACATAAAAAAACCTAGTTTATAAGTAGATTTAAAATAATTTATTACATATTTATTTTAAACTTCTAAATTCTTTAATTTTTTTTTTCTAAAAGTTGTGATAGATTGTTTATCATTTTCGCAAATAGGTTATATGCACGAGGAGTGATGATTAAGATTTATGATTGATTATTTATCTTTTCCATAAATAGATTACATAATTAAGAAATTCAGAGCAATTATATTAAGATAAATCAATCACGCTGTGTTTTTATTTCTTTTCTAGGTTGATTTTATCTTTTTCAGTTTGTATAGTAAGATCAACCAGTTAATCGGACGGTCAACATTTTTAAGAACGTTGGAAGAAGAATGTTTCTAATTTTAAGTTTATACAAATTAGCATATTTACTGGTAAAATATACTTATTAACTTTTGAATCGTGATTATGTTAACTTTAATTTAAAATCTACTTCAAAATTTATTAATATATAGATAAAATAAAGATATATTGATTACATTAAATTTAAGATTTTACTATATATATAATTGACTTGAACGTCAGATTGTCCGTAACAATATCCACCCGCTCAACTCAAAGTTTGAAGACGAAGATGATAAAGATTTGACAGAAGAATATAAAAGAATATTAACTGTGATTCTTTACCCCCCCATCCAGAACCCATTTCCTTGTCTGAAACCATTTCCTTTTATGCTAGAAAATTAGATAGTCGTAATAAATCCGTGGGGAGTCGGGTAATAATATAAGGTTAAATTTTTTAGTCCCTAAACCTATTTACCGTTTCTTGGTTTTTGTCCCTCTTTTCCAAAGTAAGGTACAATTGAGAGTGGTTGCACAATGGCTCCCTACATCTTTAAAAACGTTCGTTTTAATTCTAGAAAATCGACGTTTTTAGTACTACAACTTTGTACTAAAAACAAAATTTTTTGAAGGACTAAAACGCAGTTTTTCTCAAGATGAGGAGTGTGTAATTGGTACCTTACTTTGGACTAGAGACGAAAAACAAAACGGCCAATCGTTTAGGGACTAAAACATTTTAAACCCTATATAAACAAGTGAAGATATTAGTAGTATAAGTTTGGACTCTAAAATTTCTAACAACATGCAAATTTGTGATACTGGATAGCTAATCATCTTCATCTACTCAATTAATTTGATTTAATAGGGTTGGAAATTGTGTTGAATAATTTGAAAGTTAATTGGTATTTTTAGTGTATATATATATGAATAATGAGAATTACTTTCTTTTGTTGGATTGGGGTCATGTTTTTGTGTTGGTTAGTTAGAGTTGGGTAGAAATAATATTTTTGAATTTGAGAAAGATAAAATTTGCTTTTGATAATTAAAATCTCAGTGATGTTTGAATTTGTATTTTCTTTTATTGTGTGCAATCATATTACCCTTATTTTCATATTTTGATTTTTTTATATTGTGTTCAGTTATCGTTCGAATAACAGTTCAAGCAGTATGGAAATTTTCGTTCAAAGAGAGAATACTTTTTATTCATGTTAAGACTTTAGATGTAAGTGAGAGAGATAGTATGTTATTTCTCCTTTTTTTTTCTACTTAAGCAACATTGTAATAGTTTAAGATGAGACAAGTTTAGAGGTTAATGATAGAACTCAATGTTTATACAACAAGTAAGGTAAATCAAATGATAGACATGATAGTTGAGTAAATTTTAATTGTCTTATGTGAGATTTTATGTTGTATTTGTTGGAAGTTCTACATCGACTAGAGATAAGATCAATTCCATAGTTTATCAGTAGGGTGCACACTTTACTTTATGAGTTAGTTTTGTGGAGTTGAGTTAGGTTTAAAGTTCACTTCCAACAGTAGTATTGTGATAATTGTGTTATTGAGGTCGAAATTATACATGTTATTATTTTTAAACTATTTTTAAAATTGCGTCTCATTCTTAAATTAAACAATAATAATAACCTTTTATTTTTTTTTATTATAATTGTTTATTCGTTTTGATTATATAACTTAATAATTTGATCTTTCTTAAATAGTATAATATTATTAAGTATATTGACTGGTTCTTGGATGCATTTTCTTTATAAATAATATTTAATAAAATAAAAGAACATCTAATTATATTATTATAGATAAATAAGTCATGAAAGTGAATAACTTTGACTTACCATAATATATAAAATAAATTTAAAAAATAAATAATATTTAAGATAATCAATCCACCTAACATCTATCATCGTGTAATTTGTTGAGTTTTAAGTTATAAAATTTTGAACATAGAAGTTAACTTATTTTCAATTCAAATCCACTCATGAGTCCCTTATATGTCCAAGTTGACGTATGTTATCAATTACTTATGTCTCTTATCGATTAGTGGTAAGGTTACTTTAAGTATCATTTATAAAAATTCACTTAGATTTAAAATTTACTTCTTACATATCATAACTATATATTACAATATACCTTATTACATAATAAACTTTAATCAATCATTATGATTAAAAAGTATTCTCTACTTGATTATTAATTAACTTCATTAAAAAAGTATAATTAAGGTTAGTTAAGTAAACAATTTCACAGACGCCCTTTAGTAACATTTTAACTATAATGTAAATATATTATTTTAAAAAAAGGTAAAATTTGTGAGATTAGAATTTAGAATTTTTAGGTTATCCCAAGAAAGAACAGTAGGGTATTGGTGCGCCTTGTTTAGAGCGCCTAGTCTAGGTAACGTACTTGAGCCAAAGTGTGTAAAACTAAAAAGGTTTAGGCTAACTTAGCCCTTGGCTAGCCTAGGTCTAGGGCATAGCCTAGACTACTATAGATCAATTGAATTACAAGGATCCTACAATGTAGCAAACTTTGGCATTTTCTGCTCATAATGTCGTCATGTTTCAAATTGATACAAATTGAAATTTACAAAGCAATATTAAGAAAATGTTAAAAAATAAATAAATTTAAAGATAAAGAAAATGATAATTGCTCTAGTTTAAGTTTTCAACTAATTCCAAATAATTATACTTTGTTTTGTCTAAAAGATTTTACTAGTATATATGTTTGATTTTTATCATACTTTCAACCATTAATATATTTGACAAATTATTTTTTAATTTTATTTGATAATAATTGTGAATATAATGTAATGAGTTTCAGGATAGTAAAGTCGAAAGAAAATAATCAAATTTAATTTGTATTGAAATTATATTTAAAATTAAGGTTAAGTATTTTTTTTATAGTCTTTTAACTTTTATTTGAAACTAAAATTCTTCTTTGTGAAATCTTGATATATTTTGATTTTTGAATTTTTAAATTTTAAAAATGAATGAATATGATTATTTTAACGTAATTATGTTAAACTTTTATTCATGTGTCAAATATGTTTCTCATCACTAAAAGATGAATGTATCAAAATTTCGAATAAAACAAATTTCAATAACTTAAAATTGACACATTTAACATTAATGTATCAAAATTTCGAATAAGATAAATTTTAATTTTGCATCAAAGTGTCAGTTTTGCGTCAAAGTTCAAATACTAAAACATACTCAAACTTTAAAATTAAATCACCTATATTTTACAACATCAAATTAGTTTAGGGTTAATTTTGTGTTTTTAAATGAATCAAAATATTTATACTCATAATAAGTAATATGCAAAGGGAAAACAATGAAAATCATTTATGATTACCTTCCCATGATAAATTTAAATTTAAGAACTTTATTTTTTCTTATAAGAGATAGAGATAGATGGGAATATATGTGGATTTCATTAGCTCTTCTTCGTCAATATATAATATATTATACATAAACTACAAAATCATAAAAAAAGTGCTATTAGAATTGCAAATTAATGTAATAGCATGACAATGTCTTACGAAACTTAATAACAAAAGTTTAACCATTAATAATCTCTTTTGTAAATATTTATCAAAATACTATTTTGAATAAAGCTTATTACCCTTTAAAGGAAACAAAAGTATTTTATTAATCATCTATTCAACGTTTCTAAAACCATTTTTTTAATAATCTACTTCGTCGAACAATGGTTTTAAAAAACCAGTCATTAGCTAATTTTTGGTTGGAAAGTTCCACATCGACTAGAATAAGACAAATTAAAGTATATAAGTGGGTGCAGACCTCACCTTACAAGCCGGTTTTGTGGGGATGAGTTAGGCCTCAAGTCCACTTCTAACAATTTTAAGTGCAATTTCTCTTCTTCTTTAAGGGGGAGAAGAAAGGAAATGATTCCTACCTATTATGGGTCATATTTTCATCTCACTCAATACTATGAAAATGCACAATTGTTCCTTTTCCGAAAGCCAAATCCAAGAATGAAGGTCCCTTCTATCTTTTCAATGATATACCATATAAGTAATATACCCTTCCATTTTTTTTTCTTCATTTCTTTTATTTTCTTTCCTATTGTATCTTCCTTTTAAAGCAAAATAATTTTTTTCAGTGAGGTACAAAAGAAAAATATATCATGATGAATCATTAAATAAACCTAATTGTTATGATGGAAAGTTTTATATTATCTGCCTCAATTTATATATATTGAAGAACTTTGTTTCATACTAATGATGAAAAGAAAAAATACTGGTATACCACAATGAGTTACTACACCACTTTCCTAAGAAAAGTGAAAACTATTCCATTTTTTAACCTAATGCAAGAAAGTGTTTTGATTACATGAACTTGAGTATGATGTAAAAATGTTTTGCACTTGAGTGTCACCCCATTACATCAGAGAATAGCAATTGAGTTCATTCGTACAGAAAATTGCCACTGTAACTTTCTTCAATGTATGAGTATTAACCATATATTTTATTACCCACAAATAAAAAATGTCTCTGAATCAGTCTCTAAAATTTATCCAAATTTTACCAGTGTTGAGATTTTTGAGACCAAAAAGTGGTGTCAGGTCAGGTATAAACCAAAAATGTAGAGATTTTGCTATAGTGTAGTCTTTTTCATGAAGGAACTGACAAATGTTATCAAGATACGATAAGAAACAAAATAACAAACACCATTATCATGTTTTGCAACCCAGTTCTTTCCATATTTACTGTATCAACTAAAATGTAGAGTTTTTTCTATAGGACTGAAAGAAAACCGTGATTATCTTTTTAATTTACCCCAAAATTATCATCTAACTGAATGGAGAGGCTTCAAGGATATGCTCTCACACCAGAAACATATGTTTGCTCAATAGATGCAGATGCATCTTCAGCAAAGTCTTGCCATGAATCAGTGGACAATATGACAAAATCTGCCAGTTTCCCTGGAGATAAGGACCCAAGATCTTTGTCAAGGAAGCTTGCTGAGCAGCAGAAATGGTGTAACTGTGAAGGTCAGAGAGACTTTTAGTATCATGCAAGAATAGCAAAAGAAAACCATGTATATGATGAACTTGAAGTTGAAATATGATCAGATTAGGAAAGAGCACTAGTGCACCACTCAAGCAGATCTAGATTTACATGAAATGAAACAATACACTTGCTAAAAATGTCCTATGAATAAGTGGGGCTTGTACCTTGTAATCACAATCAGAAGAAAAAACAAAAAGAACAACACAGCATTGTGGTGAAAATTTCTGTAAAGTACAAAGCACTGAAGAAGTGGTCTCTCCACTATTTAAAAGCCATACACACTATGATTGTTTTGCATACCAAATTCAGATAGGCATGAGGGCTAAGGAACTTGTTCTCTGAGATTCAAATGATTATAGAGTTAATGGGTAATCCCACAAACCATATCTATAAGATCCTGTTGAAAACCATACATTGATTACGAATATGATCAAACAAAAATATATAATTGCAAACCATTTTATAGTATTGAATTAGATTCTACCCTAACTTTTAAAATAATACCAGAGCTTTTCCAGTAATTGTTGTTGAGTCTTTCATACAACTAGCTATTAGACGGTTATCGTATTATCCATAATGTTTAATCTTGCAAACTTCACATATCAGATGTCTAATTTTACTTGCAAAGAGAGTGTATCAGAAATTTTATATCAATCAATGATGGGATTAAATTGAAATATATTAGTAGGGGATGATCCTAACCTTATTAACTGGTTTTGTAAGGTTGAATTACTCTTTAGAAAACTCAAAATTCTAACATATGTTACTGTTATATTCCTGTAAAACTTCTGCTCATGTCTCTCTCAATTCCATTTTTTCTGTGCTACAGATGTGTACAGATGAAAATATAGAGCAGGCCATCAGTACTACATCATGATACTAATGTTATATAATATTTTGACTAATTTCTTGAGATGACAAACCAACATGTAAAAATTTTCCACTCACTGACAGTCCACATAAAGTGGTTCCCATCACATCACAAACAAACAAGAAATCAACAAGTCACATAACATCAGTATAACATGATCTTACGCCTTTATTGCATCATCTAGTGAAATGCATTCGGATGGAATCCATGCACTTTTCCAAGTGGGAGGCTTCCTCTTCATTGCTGTCTTAATTCCACTTAAGGGATTGATGTCTACCACCTGTGAAAGAGAGACATGTTGTGAAAAGTACTTCTAAACTAGTGTTAAAAAATATCTAAACTAGTGTTAAAAAATATGAAACTGTGCAAGTTGATGAGTACTGATAAATACAACACTTACCGGCCAGTCAGAACCAAATGCCACTAATGCATTGTTATTTAAGAGTGACCGAAACAAATATGATTCTGTGTCTGCCCTATCCTTGCCTAGCTTTTTGCTAGTAGAGTCAGCATCATCCAACAATTGATCTGGCTGTTGAATATTGATAGTTAAAATAGTACAGATCTTGTAAGAGGGTATTGTTTATACTGTCAAAACATATACATACAATAGGGAAGGTATTGGAGATTATAGATTGCACATCATCTAAAGATATGACTAAAATAAAGTCTATCCTAACCAAATTTAGTGAGTTTGTCATGTAATCACTATTGGACTGCTATCCTACCATTCACGCAACGTTCAAGATGTCTAGTCTTTAACTTGAGAATGCGTGGATTTTACATTATTTAGAAATATGACAAGAATAAGATGTATAAATGAGTACAAATCTCACAACAAACAGGTTTTACAGAGTATTAAAGGATTAATTATTAAGTCATTTTCAAGGTAAGAACAACAGTGGGACAAACTGAAGCAAGGAGAGAGAGAATGGATAACATGGGGAAGAGAATAGGAAAGATAAGAGATTTCAACTAAGATTTGGTACAAGCACAATCGTGAGGCAATTATTTTACCCTTAAGCTGTAAAATATGAAGCTTTTAAGTGACCAGTGCACTCATAGAATTAGAAAGTACAAGTTATTGATATTTGCTAGAAACTTAATATCATAGTGTCTGCTGTATGTTCATATAAACAATACTGACTTTATTCACAGAAGGAAAAACTATTTTCATGATTTCATCTACATTCACCTTTATGTTCTTGGGATTTGCATGACACTTGAATTGTTTGAGAATAAAGAAGAGCAAAGATTAGATAATTCATAATGAGGGAATCATTGTAAAAATGAAATCTTAGTTAGTGGATTGAACTAACATGAGATCAACCCTCTCATTCTAACTGCACACTGCTGTTATTATAGTGTGATTGTTCTAGTACCAGTTCATATAGCAAGAGAAATATGAAGGGATAGAATAAGAATTTGGCTTGGAAGAGCAATTAACATGCAATGCTTGCATAGTGAGGGAGGGGGGAAGAAAAGTTAATTTCTGCTTTTCTTGGTGCGGACCATAATAGTGCGAACCTTTTTGGGAGTATTGCTCATTGTATAATTTATTCAGTAATATATTGTTCTCCATGAATAAAACATTTCATGTCCTTTTCCATGTCTCAGGCATATACATAATATTGATAGTAATGAAAAAACAAGATAATGGTTAATGAAAACCTGCATGGAAGCAACAACCCTTTGTTTACCAAATCGGCCAGGGGTTCCGGCTGCCAACTGCTGGGCATGCTCAATCTGAAAGTAGTGTTTATGTTCATTACTAACTTGGCTCACCATGATTATATTAGAACAAACATCTCTGGAGCAAAATCTCCCCATTATCAACAGAAAATTATTAAAGCTTGCTATGTTTAAGCAAAAAATATTACCCTGAATCTTCGATCTCTCATACCATTTGCAGAAGCTACTGAACTATATAGGTCCAAGATAAGGTCATTTGTTTTGTCTCCTATAGCATGAATAGCGACCTGTAATGAATCAACAATTTGGTAACTAAGAACAAGAGAATTTAGCAACTAAGAACAAAAGACTAATCACCTGTAGACCATATAAATCAGACTCCAAGGTCATGTTGAGAAGTGCTTCAGGTTCAGTCACTTGTAAACCATAGTTGTCTGGCTCATCAACATATGGCTACAAAATTTGAATGTGCATTAACCCCATGCTAAATTTCAGTCTCTATAAACTGAGGTGCTACTTGTCATTCCCAACCCATATCCATTTAAAAACAAAAAATATGACAGAAAACAGATAAATAAATGGATTTTTCAAAAAACTATCGACAGATAATTTACACTGAAAAAGTGAATATCTGGCCTCACCTCATAAAGCAATGCACTATTGGAACCCAAAGACCCATCAGCAAAAGCTTTAACACCACCAATATAAATCCATTCGCTCAAGGTATGGCCAACTTTGTTAATCAAATCCTAAGAAGAAAAATGTAACTTTAGGAGACAAATGTTAAAATCAACATTAAAAAATAAAAATATAGTTAATAACAATTATTAGTGTGATACCAAATACAGAGAAATCAGACACTTATTAAGATCTTGGCATATGGTGAAAACACTCTTATAATGAATTGGGAAATCCTCCACCTTAGAACTAACTTTTTAATTTAATTTAGGCTAGTCCAATCTCAATTTTAATATGGTATCAATTATCAAAGCCTTCCCAAACTCGGTTCAAATGTCCACTTTGGGCGAGTAGATGTGTTAAGATCCTATATTAGCATTTGCTGCTTAGTTAGGTCTAATTTGTTCTCGATTCTAATAAAATACTAGCTGAATTTTGAATTAACTCAAGCAATGAAAGCTAAACTGATTAAAAAAGACAAAAGAAGAGTTTACCTATTTCATATAATACTACAAGTTAATACATTTTAGCTATCATTTGCTGGAACTAAAAATTATTAGATTTACGAATGAGAGAGCAGAGAGAAAATGAATAGAACAAACTGTTCATTGATAGAATTGAAAAACTCACTTAACATTCTGTACAGTGTTTGTATTTATAAAGATACAAAAGAAAAGACAGTTGTACATAATACTTGACCCTGATTAACCAATAAAATCATACTAACATATGCTAACAGCCACCTCAAACTCAAGGAGAAGATTTTTGAGAAGAAAAAGTTTTCACATTGAGTTTGGAACGTAGAAAAATGAACCAAGAGGAAGAGAGAGGCTTTGTCAGGGCATATGCCCACTGATCAAGTGCTGGAACATGAGAGACTTGCAGCTGCTTCAACAAAGTCTTCTCACGAACAAAGAACACATCAATTTCTATGTGTTTGGTCCTGTGGTGAAAAACTGGTTTATGTGCAATGGAGACTGCACTTTGATTGTCACAGTAAAGAACAAAAGAATTGAATGGAACTTGAAGTCCAATGAGTAACTTAAAATCAATGACAATTCAGCAGAAGTTTGGGCTAAACTTCTGTATTTAGTTTCAGTGCTGGAGCGAGCAGGGGTACAGAACAATTAAAAGCCGCTGGCTGAAAATGACCACAGATCAAAGTGCCCCTTAAATAGTGTAAAATGCGTTTAACCACATTCCAGTGAGAGTCAAGAGGTTGTGCTATAAACTGGCATACTTTATTTACAGCAAATCTGATTTCTGGCCATGTAAGAGTAGCATACTGCAACATCCCCACCACAGACCTATATAAGGTAGGGTCTGCAAAGAGATCTGCACCATGTTTAGACAATTTACAGTTAGAGACCATGGGGATAGAGATAGTGTGAGCTTCTTCCAGATGAGTTTTATGAAGCAAATCATGAATGTATTTGGTCTGAGTCATCACAACTGAGTTGTCAGATAAATGCTTGATTTCCAGGCCAAGAAAATAGTCCAGTTGACCAAGATGTTTTAAAGAAAATGTGGCATTAAGGCTGGACGTAACATGCTGAACGAGAGAAACAGAATTGCCAATGATGATGATGCACCTCAAAGTCTTTCTTGTCAATAAACAAGGATGTATCACAAACACTGTTAACAAACCCAAGCTGATGAAGAGTGTGCTGTAAGCGATTGAACCATTGTCAGGGGCTAGCTTGAGCCCATAGAGCGCCTTATTTAACTTGCAGACAAGAGACTTGTCAGCCACCTCAAAACTAGGAGGTTGCTGCATATAGACAGTTCCTTCCAAAATACCATTCAAAAAGGCATTATTCTAATCCAGTTGAAACAACTTCCACCCAAAAGAAAGAGCAACAACTAAATTATGCAAATAGTAACAGGTTTGATGACTTGTGAAAATGTTTCATGAAAATCAAAACCAGCCATTTGATGAAATCCTTTAGCTACTAGGCGGGCTTTATATTTATTAATGGAGCCATCAGCATTTTACTTGACCTTAAAAACCTATTTACAACCAACAGCCTTCCTATTAATAGGTAAAGGAACCAAGTCCCATGTTTGATGGGGAATTAAGGCATCATATTCATGCTGCATAGCAGCCTTCCAATCAGTATCCTTAAGAGCCTGTTTAACAGAGGTAGGTTCAGAATGAGTTAATAACAAAGAAGGATCTACTCTGTTTAAATATGCCTGAATTGGATCGAGTCTACCAAGGGTGGGCAAAACTAATTGAACTATTAAACTATCAATTAACTTTACTATATTATACCAAAAATACTAAACTATTTAGATTAAAAACTGAACCTCTAAAGTTGTACTTAAGTTAATTACTCATTAACTTAAAACTACTACGTCTTATACTTTTTACTTGTTTGAGAATCTCTAAAGTTGCAGTTTAGTTTGGTTGCTGCAAACTTGATCAAACTTTGACTGAGGTTGACTCGGTATTTTCAACCACCGACTTTTCGATCGAGTTGAGACCAACTCGATCGAGTTTTGATAGTGGTTGAGTACGCGACTTGATGCATTCTCAGACCTGCACCATTTCCTATGAAAACTTTATCCGGACCATCAAATTGTTGATGTTGTTTTATATTTAATGATTCACCAGTCACATGAAAACTTGCACCCAAATCAGGTATCCAGGAAGACTTTCCTTTATCTGGAGAGGTGGACTGTAGTAGCATAACACTAGGCTATGAACTGGTATTGGATTGAACATTTGGATTCACNTTGATAGTAATGAAAAAACAAGATAATGGTTAATGAAAACCTGCATGGAAGCAACAACCCTTTGTTTACCAAATCGGCCAGGGGTTCCGGCTGCCAACTGCTGGGCATGCTCAATCTGAAAGTAGTGTTTATGTTCATTACTAACTTGGCTCACCATGATTATATTAGAACAAACATCTCTGGAGCAAAATCTCCCCATTATCAACAGAAAATTATTAAAGCTTGCTATGTTTAAGCAAAAAATATTACCCTGAATCTTCGATCTCTCATACCATTTGCAGAAGCTACTGAACTATATAGGTCCAAGATAAGGTCATTTGTTTTGTCTCCTATAGCATGAATAGCGACCTGTAATGAATCAACAATTTGGTAACTAAGAACAAGAGAATTTAGCAACTAAGAACAAAAGACTAATCACCTGTAGACCATATAAATCAGACTCCAAGGTCATGTTGAGAAGTGCTTCAGGTTCAGTCACTTGTAAACCATAGTTGTCTGGCTCATCAACATATGGCTACAAAATTTGAATGTGCATTAACCCCATGCTAAATTTCAGTCTCTATAAACTGAGGTGCTACTTGTCATTCCCAACCCATATCCATTTAAAAACAAAAAATATGACAGAAAACAGATAAATAAATGGATTTTTCAAAAAACTATCGACAGATAATTTACACTGAAAAAGTGAATATCTGGCCTCACCTCATAAAGCAATGCACTATTGGAACCCAAAGACCCATCAGCAAAAGCTTTAACACCACCAATATAAATCCATTCGCTCAAGGTATGGCCAACTTTGTTAATCAAATCCTAAGAAGAAAAATGTAACTTTAGGAGACAAATGTTAAAATCAACATTAAAAAATAAAAATATAGTTAATAACAATTATTAGTGTGATACCAAATACAGAGAAATCAGACACTTATTAAGATCTTGGCATATGGTGAAAACACTCTTATAATGAATTGGGAAATCCTCCACCTTAGAACTAACTTTTTAAATTAATTTAGGCTAGTCCAATCTCAATTTTAATATGGTATCAATTATCAAAGCCTTCCCAAACTCGGTTCAAATGTCCACTTTGGGCGAGTAGATGTGTTAAGATCCTATATTAGCATTTGCAGCTTAGTTAGGTCTAATTTGTTCTCGATTCTAATAAAATACTAGCTGAATTTTGAATTAACTCAAGCAATGAAAGCTAAACTGATTAAAAAAGACAAAAGAAGAGTTTACCTATTTCATATAATACTACAAGTTAATACATTTTAGCTATCATTTGCTGGAACTAAAAATTATTAGATTTACGAATGAGAGAGCAGAGAGAAAATGAATAGAACAAACTGTTCATTGATAGAATTGAAAAACTCACTTAACATTCTGTACAGTGTTTGTATTTATAAAGATACAAAAGAAAAGACAGTTGTACATAATACTTGACCCTGATTAACCAATAAAATCATACTAACATATGCTAACAGCCACCTCAAACTCAAGGAGAAGATTTTTGAGAAGAAAAAGTTTTCACATTGAGTTTGGAACGTAGAAAAATGAACCAAGAGGAAGAGAGAGGCTTTGTCAGGGCATATGCCCACTGATCAAGTGCTGGAACATGAGAGACTTGCAGCTGCTTCAACAAAGTCTTCTCACGAACAAAGAACACATCAATTTCTATGTGTTTGGTCCTGTGGTGAAAAACTGGTTTATGTGCAATGGAGACTGCACTTTGATTGTCACAGTAAAGAACAAAAGAATTGAATGGAACTTGAAGTCCAATGAGTAACTTAAAATCAATGACAATTCAGCAGAAGTTTGGGCTAAACTTCTGTATTTAGTTTCAGTGCTGGAGCGAGCAGGGGTACAGAACAATTAAAAGCCGCTGGCTGAAAATGACCACAGATCAAAGTGCCCCTTAAATAGTGTAAAATGCGTTTAACCACATTCCAGCGAGAGTCAAGAGGTTGTGCTATAAACTGGCAGACTTTATTTACAGCAAAACTGATTTCAGGCCATGTAAGAGTAGCATACTGCAACATCCCCACCACAGACCTATATAAGGTAGGGTCTGCAAAGAGATCTGCACCATGTTTAGACAATTTACAGTTAGAGACCATGGGGATAGAGATAGTGTGAGCTTCTTCCAGATGAGTTTTATGAAGCAAATCATGAATGTATTTGGTCTGAGTCATCACAACTGAGTTGTCAGATAAATGCTTGATTTCCAGGCCAAGAAAATAGTCCAGTTGACCAAGATGTTTTAAAGAAAATGTGGCATTAAGGCTGGACGTAACATGCTGAACGAGAGAAACAGAATTGCCAATGATGATGATGCACCTCAAAGTCTTTCTTGTCAATAAACAAGGATGTATCACAAACACTGTTAACAAACCCAAGCTGATGAAGAGTGTGCTGTAAGCGATTGAACCATTGTCAGGGGCTAGCTTGAGCCCATAGAGCGCCTTATTTAACTTGCAGACAAGAGACTTGTCAGCCACCTCAAAACTAGGAGGTTGCTGCATATAGACAGTTCCTTCCAAAATACCATTCAAAAAGGCATTATTCTAATCCAGTTGAAACAACTTCCACCCAAAAGAAAGAGCAACAACTAAATTATGCAAATAGTAACAGGTTTGATGACTTGTGAAAATGTTTCATGAAAATCAAAACCAGCCATTTGATGAAATCCTTTAGCTACTAGGCGGGCTTTATATTTATTAATGGAGCCATCAGCATTTTACTTGACCTTAAAAACCTATTTACAACCAACAGCCTTCCTATTAATAGGTAAAGGAACCAAGTCCCATGTTTGATGGGGAATTAAGGCATCATATTCATGCTGCATAGCAGCCTTCCAATCAGTATCCTTAAGAGCCTGCTTAACAGAGGTAGGGTCAGAATGAGTTAATAACAAAGAAGGATCTACTCTGTTTAAATATGCCTGAATTGGATCGAGTCTACCAAGGGTGGGCAAAACTAAGTGAACTATTAAACTATCAATTAACTTTACTATATTATACCAAAAATACTAAACTATTTAGATTAAAAACTGAACCTCTAAAGTTGTACTTAAGTTAATTACTCATTAACTTAAAACTACTACGTCTTATACTTTTTACTTGTTTGAGAATCTCTAAAGTTGCAGTTTAGTTTGGTTGCTGCAAACTTGATCAAACTTTGACTGAGGTTGACTCGGTATTTTCAACCACCGACTTTTCGATCGAGTTGAGACCAACTCGATCGAGTTTTGATAGTGGTTGAGTACGCGACTTGATGCATTCTCAGACCTGCACCATTTCCTATGAAAACTTTATCCGGACCATCAAATTGTTGATGTTGTTTTATATTTAATGATTCACCAGTCACATGAAAACTTGCACCCAAATCAGGTATCCAGGAAGACTTTCCTTTATCTGGAGAGGTGGACTGTAGTAGCATAACACTAGGCTATGAACTGGTATTGGATTGAACATTTGGATTCACCCAAGTATTGGAGGTCTTGTAAGAGCCAGCAGAATAAGGAATAGACTGTTGAGTGGCAGGATCAATAGAGAACAACAACTCGTGAGGTTGATAGGATACATCAGACCTGAAGTGGCAAAATTTAGCCGTATGACCGATTTTAAGACAAATTTGGCAAACTTGCCACGGCCTCTGGCTGGACCACTGCCACCGCGAGTAGAACCACGAGAATTGCCTTTTTGTGTACCTCTAGCATAAGGTCCGTGTGTAAAATTCAGTGAAGGTGTTACTAGGTTCTGATTTTCCTGTTCATATCCATGGAGCCTGGTTTCATGACCATACAGAAGAGCTTCAATCTCAGCAATGGAAGGAGGCCTCTTGTTGCTCTCTAATAACAGAAACAATAGAAGCATAATCAAAGCGAAGACCTTCCAAAATAGCATCCACATGCTCATCATGAGGAACTGGAAAGCCAACACCAGCAATTTCATCAACATAATTCTTGATTAAGTAAATAATCTTCCACGGACTTAGATTCAAGTTTGACAGCACGCATAGCAGTCCGAACCTGCGTGCACGAGACTTTGTTTGAAGGTTAAAATATTCATGAATTCTCTTCCAAACTTCATAGGAGTGAGTACATCCGAGAACACGAGAGAGAACAAACTAGAAAAGAGTAGATTGAAGCCATTTGATCTTGTACCTCCCAGGCTTCATACGCAGGATTAATAAGATCAGCAGCTCTATCAATTTCATTGAGATATCTAGGCAGAACAGTAGGATTGACAACAAAACAGTGAAGCTTACATGATTTAATCACTGGTTCAACAAATTGCCGCCAGTGAAGATAGTTTGAATCATCTAATTTTTCCGCAATGGAAGTAGGAAAAGAGGTCGTAGCCATAGTACTCTCAGAAACAACAATCGAAGTAAAGATGGCGAACACAGTGAAGCAGCAACACAAAGAGGCGAGAGCACTGAAATGAACGTCGCGTACAAGAACAAAGACGAAAATCACAACGGCAAACGAGAACAAGACCTAAATCACGAACACGAACACTGTAGCAAAAATCTCGATCGCAGAGGAGAACGAAAACAGAATCACTGTAAGCTAATTCTTCTCTAAGAAGGAGAAAAAATCAATTCTCAAATGATACAAAGCTAAAGTGGATATTTTCGTCTTATATCCCCCTATTTATATCAAGTTAATTCAAAGACATTAAGAAAGGCAAAGTGAAGGCAAAGTGAAGAATGTACTAAACTTTCAATAAATCATAAGTTAGAAAGGAATCATACCACCAAGCGTAACCTTGTCTCCATTGAAAAAAATAAACATACTCTAATTTTCATTTTTGACATAGAATTAGCCCATTGATAAACATCTGTGCAATTCAAAATAACAATAAAATGAATAGTCAGCTAGTCTCAACAATAAGGCTTTTTACATATCACATAAAATAAGAGGAAAACTCATTCTGTTTCAAATTACAAAAAGGCATTATCCTTGAAACTTGGCTTTAGGATTGCGTCATCTATGCTTTCCTACTCCTTTTCCTTACTTAATTCAAATATTAAAAATATAATCTAGATCGTTCAAGCTATTATACAGATGAAGTTATGCAATTGAATAAGGTAACTAGGTAAGTATTCTATGGTCTCATTGTTATAAAACCATTACTTTATATTGCATTTGAATGGAAGTGGTTTTCTTTATGTATAGTTCAGTATTTAGCACAGCAGGAACTGCTTGCTTTAAATCTTTGCCTTGTGACTACATTGGCATTATGGTAATATTCAAAATAAAAGGAAACAAAATGACAAAAAAACCACAATTTGAAAATGCAGAAAAAAAAACTTATACATAAATCAACTAAAACTTTTAGACAAAACCTGAAAAATCATCCCAAGAAAGTTCAGGTGAAAAGCCAGGATAATATCTTCCCATATCAACAACCGTGGTCACCCCCCTTGTTAGGGCAAGACTGCTTGCTCTAAGCAATGCTTCCCTTCTATCATCTACTGAATCCTCTGGAATCAGTGAGGTAATAAGTGTCCCAGCAAGATCAATAAGTACTCCAGTAGGTTCTGCATAATAACAACAATTACTCACAGAAAAAAAATAGAATCTTGAAATGAAATTACCAGCATCATTTTCCAATATTGGAATGCATTCATTTATTGACCATAGTTTAAGTATAACTTAATCTAGTTTGCACTCATATTACAATGTGGCCTATCTGTAGTTAATGTAAGATCGCAAAAGCCCCTCCCCCCTTGACATCATGATCGTAACATTTTGAGCGTGAATTTGAATACATGAGTGATCCAATAGTGAGTGAAATAATAAATCTAACCAAATTTTTATAGGACAGACTCAAGAAAGAAACTATAACATGTAATCTACATTAGAAAACACATGAACCAAACCAAGAAACATGTGAATAGTAAGGAAAGTGCCACAATTTCAATGAAGGTCGAACATTTGGAATGCAACAACACATGCTAATATGCTTGCTAAGGATACATGTAAAAGCTTAGGTTATGAGGTAGAGGCTCATGAGGTGTATAAGCACATGAAGTTTGATGGAGAATGTCATGAGAAGCCATTAAATACTTAAAAGAATGGGAAAGATATTCACAGTCGTTATCACTTTGCAAAGTTCGAATAGAAATCCCAAATTGAGTTTTAATTTCATCATAAAAGGTTTGAAATATAAAAAACTACTCAGAATAATTTTTCATAAAGAACAACCAAGTGCATTTGGAATAATCATCAATAAAGGTAACAAAATACCGAAAACCTAGAGTATACTTAACACGACTAGGTCCCAAAATGTCAGGGTGAACTAAGGCAAAAGGTGACAAAACACATGTGAGACACTACGAGGAAACGAACAACGACTATGTTTCCCTAATTGACATGACTCACACAACAAACTAGGTAAACTGGACAAACTGGGAACAAGTTGTTGTAATTTAGCAAGACTAGGATGGCCTAGCTAAGAATGAAGGAGAGATGAAGACTTCATAACTGTGTCAACATGTGTAAAAGGACGGAGATGATAAAGGCCTTGAGACTCACATCCGGTAACCATTTGTCACGAACTCTGGTCCTGTAAACAAACAAAATCTTTGGTAAAAGAAACAACACAATCAAGAGAGCGGGTTAGACGACTAAAGGATAATAAATTAAACAGGTACCTAGGGACTTAAAGAACATTACCAATGGATAAAGATGGAAAAAGATTTACAATCCCAACACTACGAGCTAAAACCCTAGACCCATCAACCATTGTAATAGACTGTAAATTATCCCGAGAGGATAAAAAAAACAAAGACTTATTACCAATAATGAGATTTGTGGCACTTGAGTCAAGAACCTAAGGTCCAAGAGAAGGAGGTTGAATTAGGCCAACAAAAGATATACATATGCGTACAACAGAAGCAGTGGAACTAGAGCTCTAACGATCTTCGTAGCATTTGAGAAATTCATTGAAAAGAGCAGATTGGCCTACAGTATTAGAAGAGGCAACGAAAGAAGCCATTGATGAACAGAAGAGAGAAAAACCCTAAAAACCAAAGGTCCTCCAATCAAGGCAACAAGCACAGATNGCGTGCACGAGACTTTGTTTGAAGGTTAAAATATTCATGAATTCTCTTCCAAACTTCATAGGAGTGAGTACATCCGAGAACACGAGAGAGAACAAACTTGTAAAGAGTAGATTGAAGCCATTTGATCTTGTACCTCCCAGGCTTCATACGCAGGATTAATAATATCAGCAGCTCTATCAATTTCATTGAGATATCTAGGCAGAACATTAGGATTGACAACAAAACAGTGAAGCTTACATGATTTAATCACTGGTTCAACAAATTGCCGCCAGTGAAGATAGTTTGAATCATCTAATTTTTCCGCAATGGAAGTAGGAAAAGAGGTCGTAGCCATAGTACTCTCAGAAACAACAATCGAAGTAAAGATGGCGAACACAGTGAAGCAGCAACACAAAGAGGCGAGAGCACTGAAATGAACGTCGCGTACAAGAACAAAGACGAAAATCACAACGGCAAACGAGAACAAGACCTAAATCACGAACACGAACACTGTAGCAAAAATCTCGATCGCAGAGGAGAACGAAAACAGAATCACTGTAAGCTAATTCTTCTCTAAGAAGGAGAAAAAATCAATTCTCAAATGATACAAAGCTAAAGTGGATATTTTCGTCTTATATCCCCCTATTTATATCAAGTTAATTCAAAGACATTAAGAAAGGCAAAGTGAAGGCAAAGTGAAGAATGTACTAAACTTTCAATAAATCATAAGTTAGAAAGGAATCATACCACCAAGCGTAACCTTGTCTCCATTGAAAAAAATAAACATACTCTAATTTTCATTTTTGACATAGAATTAGCCCATTGATAAACATCTGTGCAATTCAAAATAACAATAAAATGAATAGTCAGCTAGTCTCAACAATAAGGCTTTTTACATATCACATAAAATAAGAGGAAAATTCATTCTGTTTCAAATTACAAAAAGGCATTATCCTTGAAACTTGGCTTTTGGATTTCTTCATCTATGCTTTCCTACTCCTTTTCCTTATTTAATTCAAATATTAAAAATATAATCTAGATCTTTCAAGCTATTATACAGATGAAGTTATGCAATTGAATAAGGTAACTAGGTAAGTATTCTATGGTCTCATTGTTATAAAACCATTACTTTATATTGCATTTGAATGGAAGTGGTTTTCTTTATGTATAGTTCA